AATTTCTTAGAGGCGATACATCTTAAGTATACGAAGGATACTTAAACAGTTATAGATTTAAGATATTCAACATAAAATTGTATTTTATAAATTATGAAAATATATAAAAAAAAATTGTCGGAAAAATTATTTAGATCCAGGGACCATGAGACTATACGTCTACACTGATATTGTTATCGACTGTTCTATAACTCTTCAATAAGTATTATTATTAGATAAAACTGAAATCTCAAAACTGTTACAATTACAGATTTACTACATTTAAAAGTGCCCTGTAGCTTTGCCAATTATCAGCATAGAAATGCGAAATAGTAAATTGCACTGAATTTATACGTCGTCTGATTACTTGATAAAATACGATTCATTGTATAAAAACAGCAAAATAGAAAAAAACCTATACTTATATTTATAATTGCGACATTTAATATATTATTTTCATATAAAACTGTAATTTTTGTTTACTTTTCAATTGATGTTCAACTGAAAAAATATAGAGAATATAAACAAATTTACCTGAACATTTAAATTCTTGATCATGTAGGTCAGCTAAGTTTTGTCCTTTTAATTGCGATGGTGACTGACAGCGAGTATAGGGCGCAAGACGAGGTGCATTACGTAAATATCGTGACAGCCAAGATAAGTGGCAATCGCAGGAAAATGGATTATCCGAAAGTCGTAATGCACGTAGTCGTCCCAATCCATTAAACACATTATGAGGAATTGTAGTTAAATTGTTGTTGTTTAATGTTCTATATATAGAAAAGCATCAGTAAAATATTAAAATATTTTATAAAGTTATTCCACGTTTATTACAAACATAACAATATTTACTTTTATTCTATTTAAAAGCAGAATTTAATTTTATTTAAAACTGAAGTATAGAGAAAATAAGAATTTAGATAAAACTTAAATACCCTTCATATAAAGTTATTGATAATTCATTAATGTTGTTGTTGTAACCCGCCAGGACCTGCTTGTGAAGTCCCTTTGGGGGTGTGACTCCGGAACGTAGACCCGGCCGTTCTTGTAACCATAATTCATTAATAAAAGTCTTTACTTTAGAGCAGAAAAATTTAATATATATATTTTTTTTTTAAATACGAATAATACGATTAAATACGATTAAATCTTGTTTATGAACAATCTACCTATACTCAAATCTGAGCTGATTGATTCAATTGTTGATGGTAAAAGATTATATTTGTTCAATATTCAAGAAATATCGTGAAAATGCTTGCATGATAGTTTTATCTAAATTTAATTTAGTCTAAATGAAATTTGGATAAAAAATAAGTTACAAATGTAATAAGCCTGACAAATGTTCAAGAACCGTTTGCAAAATGTGTACAAATCTAAATGTCTAATATATTCAATATACTACATATCCGCAACTGATATCTTTCTATCAAGAAAATAGTTTTTCTCGTCTTAATTGACTTTAAAAATCAAACTGAGAGATTAGTTTGCTACAAGCTGACAAACAAATAATCAGAAGACATGGATAAATTGAATTAACTTAAGGAATAAAGTCTATTCGAATATATAGACGGATAGATTGTATAGACTTGCAGTTTCCACACTTCGTATGAGATAGGTATAAAAATTTCTTTCTAACATATGATAAAACTATGTTAAGGATTATTTTTAATATTAAGATTACATACTAGTATACAAAAAATACATTGATAATATAATTTTGAATTTTTTTTTTATAATTTTTAACACTTAAGATTTTTATCACAACTTTTTTTTAAGATTTTTTAAGATTAGAAGCTTAACGTTAGTCACAGCTTTGCAATTGGTTTCAATTTCTAAATATCAAATTATTTTGTAAATTCAATTTTAATACACAAGCTTTTAAATATTTCAAACAATAGAAATTCAATAGAAATTCTTTGAAGAGAATTTAAAAACTTTTTTCTACTACATTTTATACCACACAAAATACAATAAACATGCAATACATAGTCACAACTTTACAACTTTACGTACAGAATTTCTAACTCAATGAGTCCTTTGAAAACGTGTTCATCCATACAAGTTATTTGATTATTATCAATTTGCAGGCTCCGTAATGATTGCGCTCCCTTAAAAGAACGTCGTCCAACAGTAGCTATAGCATTATGAGAAATATCTCTAGCAAAGAAATAGTTAAATATTACCATGTTACTTACAACTTATTTCATATTTCACAAAAAAAACGTTCATGAAATCAATTTAAAGCAAAAAATATTTCAAGACAACTATCTACGGAAGTATAGAAATCTCTACAAAATTATAACTAATATCTAAACTACTTACAATCGTAAAAGACTTGCTGAACTTATCACAAAGTTTTCAGGGATTGCCTTTAGCCGATTGTTGTTAAGGCGTCTTTAAAGCAATGCAGTTTAATTGTAACGTGCACAAATCCCAAGTTAAAAAATCCATATACATAAGAAATAAATTAAATCAAACATAAGAAGTATTAAATAAAAATTCTACATTTACTCGTACATAAGCACTAAATCAGAAAACCTTGCTAAACGATTACTTACAGTCTCTCCAAAGATGTTAAGTCTTGAAAGGCACCTTTTTCAATCGTGTGAATTTGATTATCTGTCAATTGGCTAAAATCAAAAAAAAAAAAATAAATAAAAAGTTAAAAAAAAAATTAAAATAAAAAGATAACACAAATGTTTTTTACTTACAGTATCCTTAGTTTTGAAAGCCGTTGAAAGTCATGTTCAAATATTACAGTAATATTGTTGCCTTGTAAATCACTGAAAATAATATATATATATTTATATAAACATAAAAACAAATATTTAAAACAAAATAATAAGAACAGTTAGTAGTCATATATAACAAGAATTTAATACTCTTCTGTTATTAAGTATGGTTAATTTATGTCATATATGTATTAAACTACAATACAAATATATATATCATCATTAGAATAATTAAAGATGACAGATGAGCACTGCTAAGTAATAACGATTATGTCCCGGAATTCAACATGTCTCTATTAAAAAAACACGAAATATATCTACAGGAGTCTGATATTGCAGTAATAGGTAGCTTAAGATAATGTTGTCGCTGTGATTTGCATTGCACTTTCCATTGTTCGGTTAATGATTTTTAGGATGTATCCTCTACATCTTAAGTGTCGTTCTTTTGTCGTGCGTCCTTTCCTTATCTAATATCGAAATACATTTGTAATTTGTTTCTTCCTTGTGTTAGGCTAACATTGCAATCACACTACCTGTTGTTTCTGTGTTCCTTTATGCGTACCTATTTCTAAACATTTGCCTTCATTTCAGGTATGAATCAGGTTGTGATTTAGTAAATATTAATTTTTTTAAATTCTTGAAAGTTACACACGACCAGATTCAGCCTCTCACTTGCAGTTGAAACATTCAAATTAGTCATTTTCTAAAACTCTACTATTTCATTGTGATACCACTACTTCATATAAGACCGTAACGTAAATTTACTTAATTAACGTACATTAACTTAAATTATGAAACCATTTCAAGGCCCCAATAGAGTACAGAATGTCTAAAAAGTTCGTTCTAATTTTGGTCAAAGCTCTTTCTTATTTTTACAATTTCTACAATATTTATAATAGAGAATTCTCAGTCTAAGATAGTGTGTAGCAAATAGTCAGCGAACGGTTATGCAAGCCACAAGCTTAGACATATCCTGCCATAGTAAGCTGAGTAAATCCCTTGACTTTGTTCTATCAAGTGGCGACTACATTAATCTGGACGTCAGTCAAATGTAGTCGTTTGATCAGGACAAGAGTTCGTCTTTTGAATGAGACTATTCTTCAATCTTAATTTACAAAAGTCATATGAGGTATTCTGATACCTATTCTCTTCATATTCAGGGGAGGATTAGTACTACGTTTAGCTAGTTCATAGGCCCTGTAGTTTCCTTCGACATCGTTATATTGAAAGACTCACATATGTGGTGGAAGTTACTCATAATACGTTTCGGTAGGCTGGTTCAACTAAAACCAAATCAACTCAGCACTATGGTAGCGGTACTGATAGGCCACTGCACATTGAAAAGGCATGCCACAAGACTTGGTCTAACAGTTTTAGTCACAGTTGTGGATCCGCGGATAAGGAGAAAAGTGTACTCCAAATTCATGTGTCAGATTCAAAATCTTGGACCCAATTTTCTAACTCATTTGATAAAACTTTCATCCTTTAAAATTAGGGGCATACCCAAGTTTATAAGTTTGACAGATTGTTTCTGTTCTACTGTGATGTCACAATGGACCATTATTTGTATGTATCTGAGATTTGGTCGACAAGGCTGCCACTCTAACATGACCATACTCATTCAATTAAAAAAGTTCTTCTTAAAGAGTATCTAAAAAATTCTTCGTCTTTTCTTCGGGAATACGATGGAGTGGATCCTTTGGATTGTCATTATATTCCAACCGAACCTCATTAATTTTTATCTGGTCATAAAATTCCTCTAAAAGCAAAATAACTCATAACGTACAATAGATCCAGTATCATTACATTCATGACCAAGATATCTGTCATTTCATATTGAATTTTAATTTGAGAGATCAAATACTTTTCGTTTGATTTCATTAAAAATTCTTCTAAAGATTTATTACCATTTCACGGCAATAAATTTTCACATCGAACTGACATTAAAAAAAATTTTATACGCACTCTCATTGCTATATATAATCAATTAGTATTAAATCGGCGAGTTCACCTAATTCACACGTCTTCTGCTTGCTTTTTTACAACAATTAATAAGATTGCACAATGCGTTCTACGATTAATTGCAACATGTGTAGCAAAATTTGTAAACAACGCGTCTTACAATTGATTGTAGCATATGTATCTAATGTTATTTACAAAAGGAAACAATATGTATAGTATATTGCCATTTACAGTTGTTGTTGTATTTTATTGCATAGAGATAAACACTTGATATTTTTTCCAATAATTGAAGATTCTCAGTGCATGGAAATAAATCGCTCCTTCTTACAAAGAATAATGATCTTTTTAATTAAAGAGTTACAAATGAGCTATAATCTAGATGAATAAAAAACTAAAATGCATTTTATTTAGCTGGAATAGTTGATCTACAATGGAAACTCTGATTAACGACTGGATGAAAATCAAAAGGTGTCGCTACAAATACGAAATTACAGATTACCCCCACTCTAGACAGACAGCTGCTTTATCCTTTACCCATTCTTAGCAGAATTGGCGCTGTCGGCTAGATACCTATATACGGGACCCGCACTACCATCTAATGGAACTGTTTGATATGATAGTATATTGTTTTTGTTTGAAAGGATATGAGACTTCTGGAAATTGTTGTTTTTTCTGATTCTTTAGGATACTGTGGTAGAAATTGTTTTCTTCGTCAGATAAAAATTCTGGCGATTAGAGCCAGTTTTAGTAGTAGGTAAATATATTTTCTGAGATCCTGATCATAATACTCTGAGATACTGTTACATTTTATTTATATTATTTCATTAGAGTCTAAGTAAGGACGTGTTCAATTTGTTAGCTATTTTGTGTATTCTCTATTCTTAAAGATTTCCGTGAGGCTATTATGTATCGTGATTCTGATGTTATCTTGTTCTGTATTTTTTTTTTTTTTCGTACGAAATTTTTTTTTTCACGTACGATTTTGGCTTTATAAGATAAACTTGTTTCTTAAGTAGACTTTCATTTAAATTAAAAATAATAAAAACAAAATTTATTTAAAAGTTAAATTAAGTGCTATGTTATTTTTAAAGTGTTTACTAACTTATGTACGTGACATTGAATGGAGGGACTTAAGTTTTCTATAAAAAAATAATTGAGACTATCAGATTATATAATGTATATTATACAACTTTGTAATCTTTGACTATATATACTGAATTGTTGATAGCGATACAATAAATTCGTAGATTTCGTGTAACCAGACTTACCCTAGCTTTAGTCGGGTTAGAACAATAACAACTGTTATCAAAAGGATATATTATTAAATAAATACATGACTTCTTATTAAACTTTTGAGACACGAAATGTACTCTAGAAAGGCAGGATTAGCCTAGCCATAAAATATTTTCTATTTTAAATATTTTCAATATATAATTGAACATGTAAAATAGTATATCAATAATTACCGATTTTTTAATATTAAAAAGAATAAATCTTAAAACGCAGATTTATTGGGATGGAATAAAGCAATTTACGTAAGTCGAACAGAGATATGAATTATCCGAGTTTCTATTCATTTATATTATAGACGATCTTTGAATTGATAAATCGGTAAACCAATACCTTAAGTATGTATTGACATATCTTTGCGTTACTTAGTAACTGTACTAGAACAAATATTATACGCCATTCGTTAAAGAATTTCAATAAACTATATTGGAACGAAACAAAATTAGAAATAATATATAAATTTACTTTGTGAATCAATTTGTTTACAATTTTTCTGAATTACATTTCTGTGTTTGACATATTAACGTAGGTGATGATTACTAACGATTATAAGAATTTATTAAGCATAACATAGCTAACCTATTAAAACACAAAATTTTGTATAAGTCACTTTATATATATATTCATGAGTCACCTTTATGACGATTAATGTATTAGCACCGTGTGACCTTGTAAACACGTTAGAAGCAAGGATAATTCCCTTTTCACTTACTAATTTTATTTTATTCGTTAAAAAATTAATAGGAACGTTATGAAGAATAATAAAAAAAGATATATTTAAGTTTCTGTACTCACAGTCTTTCCACATCGGAATATATTTTCCTGGGCACTTGGGTTAGTCCGCGATGGGAACAATCCACAGTCAATCCATTACATGAACAAACACGAGGACAACGGGATTCGCTTATGATACCAGGATTCCCTCCAGGAATGTGTATTCCAACTGAACTGCTGCCATACGGTTCAGCATTTACGTTGTAAGTCCAAATAAAGACCAACCACAAAATAAATTGCAATGCATAAATATTGGCAAATCCACCCATCCTAGTACCATTTGTTCCTCCTTTACACTGCATTGGTGTACGTGGGGATGATATCATTGTGTCTCATTAAAACAAAATGTCTTATTCAAAACAAATTTTCAATACTATCATTAGAAAATATCTTAATTGTGTACTCTGGTTGAAAACCATAGTCTGTAACTTATTAGAAGTAAAAAGTTCGGTTTCTGCATTAGTTAAATTAGAAAGCAACAAGGCTATTGTTAACAGATACTGTTAACATAGCTCAGGTTGTTGCAGATTTTTTCGTTGTTCTTCAATTACATTTTTGTAGCTACACTCTTTCACTTTAGTTTTAGTTGCTATTTATTTATGAGAGTTATCTGAAAAGAAAACAAAAATAATTACAAATACAGTTTTTTAATAAAATTTTATTATTTCATATAAAAAAGTACAAGGAACCCAAGAAGTACGATTTCTTTATTTGAATAAAGCATAGAGAACAATTTACGCTATTTTAATGATCACTTATATTGGGGGGTTTAGAGTTAGGCTAAGGCCCCTATGCACTGCGACCAGCTTGATGTATTGTACTATATTCTAACGTTATTTAGTATCTTTTAAATGTATTCAAGCCTATTTTGCACTGTTTAGGATTATTCCATTATTGTTTTAAAAATGAATATCAGTTCCAACTCCTGCAGTCTCTTTTTGGTGAGAATTTATTTTGCGTACCTATTTTAGATAGTTAAATAAATACATAGAACCAATCTTACGAGCTTATTAATAATTTTAGAGACTATTTAATAGAATTAAATTTTAAATCTGAAACAACCTTCAGGAACAACATTCTCTGTGATATCATATAGGTACACTTTAACCAAAAAAAAACATACAATTATTTTAAAACCCGATCCTTTCAATATCATATACCTATTCATATCGAAAGAAATAAAGCCTATTTTAAAAAAATAATTACATCTCATGAAACTATTGATCCAAAAGCTGTTCACTGGTAATCTTCTTTTTTCATTTCCTAAAAGGCATATAGCTATAAATATGGACTATAATAAGGATTATGCTTTCCTAGTATGCATGATAAACATTGCTATTTGCTTCTACAATAAATTATTTAATCTTTATTTTTTAACTAGAGTGCGCAATCAAATTTAATAATAAATTTATATTCATATGTTTTGGCAAAACAAAAAACTGTTTTTATACAAAAAAAACAGCATATAGAAGTTCACTTCAGAAGTTCATTATAGTAAATCGGTACATGATGGATAAAAATTTCTCTTACAAAAAATGTTTTTAAGATAATAAGGCACTAATGTACTGAAAAAACTGTACTACTAAACTGTTGAGATTAGTAGGGTTTTCTGAAAGAATGACCGAAAGTTGTATACTTCAAATCAACTAAATTTTGATATCTATAGTGTTTTATAACAAAAACACAGATCAGTCATAAAATTAAAGTGTATTTAATGGGCTAAAAATTTGAATATAAGTAAAACTATATTAAATATTTCAGATATTGAAGTTTTTATGACGGATTTTTCTCTCACATACTATATTTCATTTATCTGAAATCAATAAACATCAACTTCTACAACAGACTTGCGGTTTACCGAACTTTAATAAATACGATAGTTACTCCTGTGTTTTGTAATTGTGATTTTCCAGAACAAATATATATTTGAGCATGTTTGAACCTTTTCGCATTAATTTCATTTAAGATAAAGAATATTAAACATTTCTTTAAGTAAATAAAGTTAGTAATATTTATACGAATTCGCTAAATTTGATCTCGACATTCAATAATGGGATGATCGCAGAGTCTTAATTTAATAGTAGACAAATAATGCCTATACAATACAAACCGAACTTTGTATAGTATTTTTGATTTCAATATATTGTTTTTGAGTTAATACTCGTAATTTCAATTCACTACACATTTTTGAAAGTTCAAAAAATACTATTCCACAATTCAATTATTTGATGACCGCAGATGTCTGCCAAGTTTCTTTGAATTTATTTTCAGATAGTAAGCATTTCGATCAAAACTCCGAGAATTTTTTGTTAAATACTTACTCGAAGAAGCATCTGTTTCAATGAGATACAAAAATTCTGCTCTACTGCAACCACTTAATATAAATAAAATATTCACAAAAATATTCAAAGAAAATCAATTATT